TTTATGTCCCTGTATAGTTAAACACAATTCATTGTAAAATTAAATTTTACAGTGAATTTTACCTCAATTTTTTGTGTGATCAAATTAAATATACTATATACCTAAAACATCTTTAAAAGAAAAAAAAATGTATCAAAAAATGTTAACCATCGAAAGATTGTAACAGAAAGTTTATTAAGACATCTCAAAACTTACCCCCAACTCTTTGGACACAAGTTCCACAGTTCAGAGTGCATCTCGTGTAGTTAGGTTGTTGATGCCTTCACTCCGATTTCAGATCTTTTTTCTCTTAATCATCAATGGATTTAATATTACTATTTCATCATTTTTATCTATAAATGTCTCGAAATGGCATTGCTTGTTGATAGAACCTGCGAAAGTGCAGTAAAACTAGTTCTTTAAACTGGTTGCGATATCGTAATCAGCAAGACGCTCGTAAAAGAATTTGATTAACACAATCTATGTCAAACGTTTACATGATTTATTAAAAATATGGTGTACAACAAACCTCAATGAATGACACAGTCGGCAGGTATTTTAAAAATAAAAGTGAGATTTACCTCTTTTATTTTTTTTCGGTATTTTGAAAAAAATGGGTCGGCGCCTCCCGTTAAACAGAAAATAAAAAAACTCTGGCCTAATTATAAAAGAGATATGTTTAGTACATTGATTTTGATTTTTGGTCAATGACAGGGAGAATACTAGATGTCTGTCTGTCCGTCTGTCTGTCTGTCTGTCTGTCCGTCTGTCTGTCTGTAAACTTTTCACATTTTCGACTTCTTCTCAAGAACCACTGGGCCAATTTCTACCAAACTTGCCACAAAGTATCCTTGGGTAAAGGGGATTCAAGTTTGTTCAAATGAAGGGCCACGCCCTCTTTCAAGGGGAGATAATTAGGGTTTAGTGAAAAAATAATGGCATCATTTAAAAATCTTCTTCTCAAGAACCGTAGGGCCAGGAAAGATGAAACTCATGTGGAAGCATCCTCAGGTAGTGTAGATTCAAGTTTGTTCAAATCATGACCCCCGGGGGTAGGGCGGGACCACAATGGAGGATCAAAGTTTTACATAGAAATATATAGGAAAAATCTTTAAAAATCTTCTTCTCAAGAACAGCAAAGCCATGATGAGCCATATTTATATGGAAGCATCCTCAGGTAGTGTAGATTCAAATTTGTTCAAACCATGACCCCTGGGGGTAGGGCAGGGCCACAATGGAGGATCAAAGTTTTACATAGAAATATATAGGAAAAATCTTTAAAAATCTTCCTCTCAAGAACAACAAAGTCATGATGAGTCATATTTATATGGAAGCATCCTCAGGTAGTGTAGATTCAAGTTTGTTCAAATCATGACCCCAGGGGGTAGGGCAGGGCCACAATGGAGGATCAAAGTTTTACATAGAAATATATAGGAAAAATCTTTAAAAATCTTCTTCTCAAGAACAACAAAGTCATGATAAGTCATATTTATATGGAAGCATCCTCAGGTAGTGTAGATTCAAGTTTGTTCAAATCATGACCCCCGGGGGTAGGGCGGGGCCACAATGGAGGATCAAAGTTTTACATAGAAATATATAGGAAAAATCTTTAAAAATCTTCTTGTCAAGAACAGCAAAGCCATGATGAGTCATATTTATATGGAAGCATCCTCAGGTAGTGTAGATTCAAGTTTGTTCAAATCATGACCCCCGGGGGTAGGGTGGGGCCACAATGAAGGATCAAAGTTTTACATAGAAATATATCGGAAAAATTTTAAAAATGTTCTTCTCAGGAACAGCAAAGCCCTGATTGATGTATTATTATGTGGAAGCATCCTCAGGTAGTGTAGATTCTATTTTATTCAAATCATGACCCCCATGGGTAGGATGGGGCCACAATGGAGGATCAAAGTTTTAAATAGAAATGTAAAGGAAAATATCTTCTGAAGAACTGCAAACCATGATTAGTCATTTTGATCTGGAAACATATAGAAAAAATATTTTCTTCCCAAGAATAGGAAAGCTATGTTTAGTCATACTGATATGGAAGCATCCTCAGGTAGTGTAGATTCAAGTTCAAATGATGACCCCTGGGATAGGGAGGAGCCACAATGGGGGATCAAATTTTTACAAAGGAATATATGGGAAATTTTTTTAAAAATCTTCTCAAGAACAACAAAGCCATTTGTTATATTGACATGGAAGCATCATCAGGTAGTTTAAAATTCAAGCCCCCCCCCCTTCCCGGTAATCTTTTCAATACTGAACTGATTTGTACTTTTGCCCAGCCAATGTGCTCAGGTGAGTGATGTGGCCCATGGGCCTCTTGTTAAGATAGGAAGTTTTGATTGTGCAAATCCATTGTACATATGTAAGAGAGTGGCTAAGTGTTTGGACCTTGTTTTGGATTGTTTATGACAAGAATACCGCGAATCTAGAGCAGACGCTCTAACCACTGCACCACGCGGGCGACCAAATCAATTGTAAATATTTAAAAGAGTGGTTAAGTGTATGGACTTTGTTTTGGATCATTTATGACTAAAATACATGTTGTTGGTATTCGTAATTTTTATGCCAACTGTTGCATATAGGGTTCCTTATATTTGTCCACATAGCTCCAACGGTTCTAAAAATAAGAAGTTTTTCCCAAATATTTTTACATCATAGATGTGCATGGCACCTTGATTTGGATTTTGGTCAGTTATGAAAAAGATATAAGCTGTTGAACTTAGTCAATTTGATGCATCATTTTACTTGTAGGGTACATCATATCTGCAGATAATTCCTCCTTCATTTTAATGTTAAACATTGGTTAAAAGGGACATAATTTTTGCAGGGTACTCCTACAATTGTGGATCAATTATTTATTCCTCAGAAATGTGTATGGTACCTGGATTTTGATTTTTGATAATTTATGAGAGGGTATATTAACTGACGAACTTTGTCAATTTTATGCAAAATATCGATTACAGTGTTCATCATTTATCCATATATATACTCCTACAGTGTTCAGGATTAGATGATTTAGTTTGCAGATAAATTGTACATACATCAGTGATGTTCATTGTAGTTAGGTTTTGATTAAGATCATTTATAGGGAAAATAACAGTTGTTGAACTAAGTCATTTTTATGTACAATATAGCTCTTACATCGTTTGTCAGGAAAACCACTCCAACAGTTTTCAAAATCAGAAGGTATTTTTTGCTTTGTAGATGAGGTTAAACTTTCATTAGAGATGTACCTTGTGCTTTGATTTTGATTTTACATCATATATGGGGAAAATTGCGGTTGTTGAACTTTATCAGTCTTTGTGTAAAATTTTGCTTTTTGTACATCATTTACCTGGATAGTTTTCAAAGTAAGAAGTTTGTTCTGCAGACGAAGTGTACGTAATTATATAAAAGATATGTTTAGTACATTGATTTTGATTTTTGGTCAATGACAGGGAAAATACTAGATGATGAGCCTGGTCAATTTTATGTAAAATTTTGCTTATAGGCTACTGCTTCCTACAGTTTTTAAGATAGGAAGTTTTGATTGTGCAAATCAATTGTAAATATGTAAGAGAGTGGCTAAGTGTTTGGACTTTGTTTTGGATCATTTATGACAAAAATACCAGTTGTTGTTATTCGTGATTTATATGCCAACTATTGCATATAGTGTTCATTATATTTGTCCAAATAGCTCCTACAGTTCTAAAAATAAGAATTTTTCCCCTAATATTTTTACATCATAGATGTGCATGGCACCTTGATTTGGATTTTGGTCAGTTATGAAAAAGATACAAGATGTTGAACTTGGTCAATTTGATGCAACATACTACTTGTAGGGTACATGATATCTGCAGATAATTCCTCCTTCAGTTTTCTTCAAAAAGAAATCCCATGAAAGGGAATATAGGTTTTTAATTTTTCAAGTCAAATGAACATACAATAGAGATGAACATGGTAATTGGATTTTGATTTTTGATCATGGATAAGAAAATACCAGTTGCTAAATTTAGTCATTTAATGTGTTATATTGCTTACTAGGGGTTCATGATTTTTCCAGATAACTCCTTCAAGAGTTTTCAAGTTATCATTTTTTGTTTTATTTTGCAGATCAAAGAAAAGTACATCAGAGATGAACGTGATTCTCTGACTTGGTTTTTTTAATCATCTGTAAAGGTACCAGTTGATAAGATAAGTCATTTTCATGCAAAATATTGCATATAGGGTTCATCATTTATTCCGATAACTTCTCCAACAGTTTTCAAGATAAGAAGTTTTTGTTTTGCAGATCAATTGTACATAGGGTAAGTCAGGGTAATTTCGACCACCGTTTAATTTCGACCACAGGAACACAATACCACACAAAGATCAACGGAAGTGTTGAGACAAGTTTAATTTATTCGGAGTTATAGAAAACTATTCCCCAAATTGTATTTCCTAGTATAATTATTCATCGCAAATATGGCTTGATCGTTGATATAAATAATATTTTTACTATTATTTATGTCTCGAGTTTGACATTCGAAGTCCCCGTCTTCAGTGCGCTTGATTTGATCAAGGAAATGTAAGAGAGACAACTCGTACAACCTCTTTTTAAATTTAACCTTGTTCAACTGTCTACAACACGAATTAAATTAAAATTGTTATCATTAAGTTGCAGAATTTTACAAATTTATCTTGGATTTCTCTCAAAATGCACAAGAAACGTCCATTTGATTTTGGTCGAAATTACCCCTACTGATTTTAAGGACAGGGGGTAAATTCGACCACTTTTTCTGAAATATGTGTAAGTTGTCTTTAACAGCTGTTTAATGCAATGCAGAGGTAAATCTTCAGGAAAAAAATGATTATACTGTATACGTACAATGTTATCAACGTATAACCTTTTATTTAAAAAAAATATATATATCAGATTGATTAACATATGCATGCCTAGCTATATATTTATTGTCCCGGTCGTCGTTCACGAGGGTGCATCACTGATCTACATGCAAGAGAACACGGGGTCGGCACTGGCTATGGAATAACACATGACGAGAGCAATCAAGTTTCCAAACCCTTCAAATGAACAAAAGAGAGGATGTAGGCAATATTAAACGTATGTAAAAAAAAAAAAAAAAAAAAAAATCAGGATTTTGCATTTTTTTTTCATTATTACAAATGCCTTAACTTTGATGGACAAGACTGAGGCTATCAAAAACCTACGAACCAGTCCTATTAAGATCGTATCACACAGTCCAGGTACACAAATCCAAATAGTACCCAAAATATCAGAACAACACACCAAAAGAGCCACAACAATCTTGAAACAAAAAAAAAACAACACTATGATGTTACACGTTATTAATGATTTGTTTGAGTTTGGTTTTTTTTTCGAGGGGGGGGGGGGGGGGGTCAGAGGACTTTGCTTCTGTAAATCTTTATTTGAGTGACTTGATCGAATTTCTCAGGATCTATCTCTTTTAAAAATTTAAAAACGTAATATACGTAATACAACGCATTCCAAATGAATGTGTAAATGGTAAAAATTAGTGAAGAAAAATATACGCATTTCTAATGCTATGCTAAACCTTATACATATATATACAATCTGAATGATTCTGTTGTGAAAAGACGATATTAAATAAAATCCCTTTTGGGTTGAACATATTAAAAATCATATCAAGAAATTATTTGTGGAATCTGAGAAAAATTTTATCTATTTGCATAACTATATATATAACAATTTTAAAATATAGAGTTGGCGGAATTTAGAATAAAGAATAAGAATTAAGATGTCTATAATTAAGACAGCATTGAAAAGCTTAAGTAACCCAAACCATTTCTTTACTGTATGGATACTAGTACTTATCCATTTTAATCTTCTTATTGAGAGAGATAGCGATAGATACACGTATTTTCTAAAAAGGGCAATATAGTTTCTCGGACCATAAATTTTGAATAAAATCGACATGTACAGTTTACTTGCATTGCAAGAGTTATCTTTCTTTTTGATGTTTGTTGTGGTCGAAATTACCCTGAGCCCAGTCGAATTTAACCCATGCAACATGCTTGCTTATTTTTTAATCAATTCATTATTTTTTATGCATTTTTAACTCCTAAAGCAGAAAAATATGAAGAAAAAATCAATCTCAATTACTTTGAATCTTTTTTTAAACTGGTTCTTTTGAAAAACAGTTGTGTTTTATGGATTGAAAGCCACAAATCAACAGAAGTGGTCGAAATTACCCCAGTCTACCCTACATCCAGTATGTGCTTAGTACTTTAATTCAGACTTCTGATCATTAATGGTTAAACAACAGTTATTGAACTTCAGTCATTTTTGTGCAAAATATTAGAGAGTATAACATTTGTATGGATATTTCCGCTCAATTTTTCAAAATAAGGGTTAATGTTTTGCAGGTAAATATTGTACATATCTTAAGGATCTACTGAGTACTTTGATTTGGATGTTTGATGGGGGAAAATAGCAGTGGTTGAACATGTTCATTTTTATGCAAAACATTGGATAAAAAGGACATCATTTTTAGCTCACCTGAGCAGAATGCTCAAGTGAGCTTTTCTGATCGAAATTTGTCCGTTGTCTGTCGTCGTCGTTCTTGTTGGCGTTGTTGTTGGCGTTGTCGTAAATTTTTCACTTTTTCATCTTCTTCTCCAGAACTACTGGGCCAATTTCAATCAAACTTATCACAAAGTATCCTTGGGTGAAGAGGATTCAAATTTGTTCAAATGAAGGGCCACGCCCTCCTCCAAGGGGAGATAATTATGAAATAACAAAAAAATAATGGCATTATTGAAAAATCTTCTTCTCAAGAACCAATGGGCCAGGAAAGATGAAACTCATGTGGAATTATTGTCAGGTAGTGTAGATTCAAGTTTGTTCAAATCATTACCCCTGGGGGTAGGGTGGGGCCACAATGGACGATCAAAGTTTTACATAGGAATATACAGGAAAAATCTTCAAAAATCTTCTTCTCAAGAACAGCAAAGCTATGATTGGTCATATTTATATGGAAGCATCTTCAGGTGGTGTAGATTCAAGTTTGTTCAAATTATGATCCCCAGGGGTAGGATGGGGCCACAATGGACGATCAAAGTATAACATAGTTATATATAGGAAAAATATTCAGAAATCTTTTTCTCAAGAACAGCTAAGCAATGATTGGTAATATTTATGTGGAAGCATCCTCAGGTGGTTTGGGTTCAAGTTTGTTCAAATCATTACCCCCAGGGATATGGTGGGGCCACAATGGACGATCAAAGTTTTACATAGGAAACTATAAGAAAAATCTTCAAAAATCTTCTTCTCAAGAACAGCAAAACTATGATCGGTCATATTTATGTAGAAACATCCTCAGGTGGTGTAGATTCAAGTTTCTTTAAATCATGACCCCAAGGGGTAGGGTGGGGCCACGGTGGACAATCAAAGTTTAACATTGGTGTATATAGGAAAAATCTTTAAAAAATCTTCTCAAGAACAGCAAAGCTATGATTGGTCATATTTATGTGGAAGCATCCTCAGGTGGTGTAGATTCAAGTTTGTTCAAATCATGATCCCCGGGGGTAGGGTGGGGCCACAATGAACAATCCAAGTTTTACATAGGAATATATAGGAAAAATCTTTAAAAATCTTCTCAAGAACAGCAAAGCCACTGTTTGTAATATTTATATGGAAGCATCCTCAGATAGTGTAGATTCAAGTTTGTTCAAATCATGACCTCCAGGGGTAGGGTGGGGCAACAATGAAAGTTCATACTTGTAGAGAAAAATGTCACAGTTAGTCTAAAAATTATGTAAGGCTCCTTAAATAAGTGTAGATTTAATTTTGTTCAAATCATACCCCCCACTCCCTTTTAGGGTAGGTTGGGACCACTTATGTGCTTTTCAATACTAAACTGATTTTTTCTTTTTTCCTAGCCACAGTGCTCAGATGAGCGATGTGGCCCCTGGGCCTCTTGTTTTTCAATTGGGACAGGATCTTTTTACCAGACCTAATACAAGAGTTATATTAAGCCCTTGATCAAGAGTTATTTCCCATTGGCTGTTAGACATTGTGGTCAGATTTCTCCTTCATTTCACCAATCAAAACCTAACTTGTCATTAGCATGATTAGGGCTGTCATGGGGGTTTTGGGGGGTTGGGCTGGTTCAGTATATTTTCAATTCAGGTTTTTGGGGTCAGTTCTTTACATTTATAATAAATTTAATTTCAGTAATTCAACTGGAAAAATCTTTCTAACATTAAATCCACTGTTATGAAAAAGTCTTGACTGTTAATGCCATCAGTTGTGTTTAGATCTACTGCGTAGATTAGTGAGAACATGACCAATCTTGTTTGTTTCGTTAATAATCCCATCCTTTCATGACCATTGTTTTGTCATGGATAAACATGATAAAGTAAATTTTTGTTGTGATGTTTACATATAAATGTTATCGTTGTCATTCTTTCCATTTTGATGTCATTTTGTATAAAAGTGATTTAGATACAATGTATATACAAATCAGACCTGAACCAAAATTTGGAAAAATTTAACCAAAACCGACCAGACCATGGTTTTTGGCTATCTCAGGGAACCCTGAGATACTTTTGGCTATCTCAGGGACCCTGCCCCCTACTTGTTGTACTGGTTATTGTGATGTGGAAATTTTTTTTTAAAAATTCATATTGCAGGGTTGTCCCTAAGAATCAAAATAGCAGGGGACTTTAAAAAAGTAGAAGGGGCTCTAGGTATCCTCCCTACAGGGGTCAAGGAGAATAACCGAGGATTACATCATAATAGGTGGAGAAATTCTCGGCCCCGGGGTCTTAGAGACAATCCTGTAATGTAAAGATTTTTTTTATGTACATATTCATGCCATGCATGCTGAAAATTTGGTCATAAATCAGAAAGAAAATACACCAGATTGACCTTAAATCCTAGTGAAAGACAACCATGCTTGTGAGTAGAAAAATCTCCAAGGCTGTGCTTATTCATGTATCATACAGCTTTTATTTGTGTTTTTCAGTTTTGTCGGCGTACAAGAGTACCAAGCATCTGACATTGAGATCTACCATTGTCCAAACTGTCAACTGACACAAGGACCTTTAGTGTGTAAGAATATAAATATCTCCCTGTCTACTGACACAAGGACCTTTAGTGTGTAAGTATATAAATATCTCCCTGTCTACTGACACAAGGACCTTTAGTGTGTAAGTATGTAAATATCTCCCAAACTGTCTACTGACACAAGGACCTTTAGCGTGTAAGTATATAAATATCTCCCAAACTGTCTACTGATTCAGGGACCTTTAGTGTGTAAGTATATAAATATCTCCCTGTCAACTGACACAAGGACCTATAGCAAGTTTAGTGTGCAAGTATATTAGGGCTGTCATGGTTCAAACATTTTTCAGATCGGGTCAGTTCTGTAAATTTTTGGTTCAGTTTTGGGTTTTTCGGTTTGGTTATTTACATCTATTTTAAACCTTGATTTCATGAATTTAGCTTGAAAAATCTTTATTTGGTATGACAAGTTCACCTTGAAAACAAGTCTTAACAATGCTAACGCTTTGACCTCGGTGTTTAGGACTATTGGTCTGACTATTAGCTACAACTTTACCATTCTTGCTTGATTAAGTAATTATCTAATCCTTAATGACAAGTGTTTTGTCATGGAATGAAGTAGATTTCAGTTGTGATGTTTATTTATCACTGTTATCGTCATCATTCTTTTGATTTTGATGCCATTTTTTGTGCAAAACAATTCTAATATATAAACCAGACCTGAACCGAAATTCGAAAAAATGGAACCGAACTGAACAACTTGGACCGTGGTTTTGGGTTATTTGGGGGAACCATGACAGCCCTAAAGTATTTATATAAATATCTCCCAAACTTTCTACTGACGCAAGGACCTTTAGTTTCATATCTCCGAAATTGTCAGATGACATAAGGGCCTTTAGATGTAAGTTTATAAATACTCAGATCTAGCACTGTTATCTCAGCTTTAACTGACACAGGGTTTCAAGGTGAAAACAAACCACAGATTATTAGAGGATTCCAAAGTCAGATATAGTTTCAGGGATTTTCCATAACACATTCTGGGAATGGGACCTAGGTCCTTGGAATGGGAAATTTAATAACTGGGAAATTATATACCATGACAATTCTCAAGAAATAAACATTAATGATGGATAAATGTGAGCCTTTATTTAATTATTCAAAACTTTCAATCAGAGAAAAGACTAATTAACAAACTGTCAGTCAATAGAACAAGACTTACCCTAACTTTTGTTTCATTGATTTTCAACTCTGACCATAACACAAAGTTCATTTTTTGGGAAAAAGAGGGTTTTTGCAATTTGGAATGGGGTCTAAATTCGGCCCTACATGGGGCAGTGGAAAATCCCTGAGTTTATAAAAGAAATCATACTGCAGTGTAAGCAAAATAGCTTTTGTGGCTTTAAATCAGTATGTGAGGCATGGAAAGAAATATTTTTTTTTAACTTCTTATAATGGAATTTTGGTATGTTTTTCAGTGAAGAAGAGAAGGAACTGGCACAGACATGATTACTCAGAGCAGGAGGATTCTTGTAAGGTAAAAAGTCCCACTAAAGTAATATGTTAATCTAATAAATTTGTTAATGTGATAACAAAAACATGGCTAGTCAGAGCAGAGGGATTCTTGTAAGGTAAAATGTCCCACATAAGTTATATCTGTTAATTTAATTAATTTGTTAATATGATAAGATAGGCATGAACAGTCAGAGCTGGAGGATTGTTGCAAGGTAAAATGTCCCACCTAAAGTAATACTGGTTAATCCAATAAACTTGTTATTAAAATAACATAGACAATATGACTACACTTACCTTTAGGATGCAACTAAGGATGCAATTTAAAAGTTTTTTTTTTACTTAGATGTTAGAGAACATTTCCATGCTAAAGTTCTTAATTTTTAGCTCACCTGAGCTGAAAGCTCAAGTGAGCTTTTCTGATCACCCGTTGTCCGTCATCCGTCCGTCTGTCCGTCCGTCTGTCTGTAAACTTTTCACATTTTCAACTTCTTCTCAAGAACCACTGGGCCAATTTTAACCAAACTTGGTACAAAGTATCCTTGGGGGAAGGGGAGTTTAAATTCTTAAAATAAAGGGCCAAGTCCCTTTACAAGGGGAGATAATCAAGAAAAGACAAAAATAGGGTGGGGTCATTAAAAAATCTTCTTCTCAAGAACCACTGGGCCAGAAAAGCTGAAACTTATGTGGAAGCATCCTAGGGTAGTGTAGATTGTAAATTGTTCAAATCATGACCCCCGGGGGTAGGGCAAGGCCACAATAGGAAATACAAGTTTTACATTGAAATATATAGGAAAAATCTTTAAAAATCTTCTTCTCAAGAACCACTGAGCCAGAAAAGCTGAAATTTATGTGGAAGCATCCTGGGATAGTGTAGATTCTAAATTTTTCAAATCATGACCCCCCGGGGGTAGGGCGAGGCCACAATAGGGAATACAAGTTTAACATTGAAATATATAGGAAAATATTTTAAAATCTTCTTCTCAAGAACCACTGAGCCAGAATAGCTGAAACTTATGTGGAAGCATCCTGGGATAGTGTAGATTCTGAATTGTTCAAATCATGACCCCCGGGGGTAGGGCGAGGCCACAATAGGGAATACAAGTTTTACATTGAAATATGTAGGAAAAATCTTTAAAAATCTTCTTCTCAAGAACCACTGAGCCAGAAAAGCTGAAACTTATGTTGAAGCATTCTGGGGTAGTGTAGATTCTAAATTGTTCAAATCATGACCCCCGGGGGTAGGGCGAGGCCACAATAGGAAATACAAGTTTTACATTGAAATATAAAGGAAAAATCTTTAAAAATCTTCTTCTCACGAACCACTGGGCCAGAAAAGCTGAAACTTATGTGGAAGCATCCTGGGTTAGTGTAGATTCTGAATTGTTCAAATCATGACCCCCGGGGGAAGGGCGAGGCCACAATAGGGAATACAAGTTTAACATTGAAATATATAGGAAAAATCTTTAAAAATCTTCTTCTCAAGAACCACTGAGCCAGAAAAGCTGAAACTTATGTGGAAGCATCCTGGGGTAGTGTAGATTCTAAATTGTTCAAATCATGACCCCCGGGGGTAGGGCGAGGCCACAATAGGGAATACAAGTTTTACATTGAAATATATAGGAAAAATCTTTAAAAATCTTCTTCTCAAGAACCACTGAGCCAGAAAAGCTGAAACTTATGTGGAAGCATCCTCAAGTAGTTTAGACTCTAAATTGTTCAAATCATGACAACGGGGATAGGGTGGGGCCACAATGGGGGAACCCCAAGTTTTACATTGAAATATATAGGAAAATTCTTTAAAAATCTTCTCAAGAACCACTGGACCAGAAAAACTGAAACTTATGTGGAAGCATCCTGGGGTAGTGTAGATTCTAAATTGTTCAAATCATGGCCCCTGGGAGTAGGCGGGGCCACAATAGTTATTACAAGGGGGGAAGTCTGGTAATGAACAGCATGGCCAAAGTTACTCAGGTGAGTGATGTGGCCCATGGGCCTCTTGTTTCTTTTGACGATGTGTATAAGGCATTACCTCACAACTGTTTTATCTCTTATTTTCCAGGCTTTGATCACCACTGTTATTTTCCCCTAATTATTTGTTTTATAACAGGGAGCCTGTGTATTGGGCATTAATTCTCCAGCTGTCACCATTAAGAACATCGAGTGTGCCATTATTGACCACGCTTTTGAGATGGGATGGATAAAACCAGAGATTCCTCACACACACACCGGCAAAAAGATTTCTGTGATCGGGAGTGGACCAGCGGGATTAGCGGCTGCTGCTCAACTGAACAAGGTCAGGGGTCTGAATAACTATCTGTGTGATGCTATTTTCTTACTGTCATTATTAATGAATAAATTTTTGTCCAGACTTTGAGGATAAAATATATATTTATTATGTGTCTCTTTCATTATGCATGTTAAACAAACATTCATCGTACCCTAAACTTGTGCTTTGGTATGGACATATGCTGAACAATATACAAGTATATCATGATTAATAGATTTATGTCACCTGAGATGTGTGTATATTGTAGGCCGGTCACACAGTGATGGTGTACGAGAGGAATGATCGAGTCGGGGGTCTACTTAGATACGGTATCCCCACAATGAAGCTCGGCAAAGATGTGAGTACCCTGTCTCGATACTCCCGTGTAGTCACAGACAAAATTCTAAGCAGATTAATTGTTTAGGGGTTCGGAACAATTTTGAACTTGTGACGGCTATTCCTTGCTTTTTGTCCCCAGGTTGTACAGAGACGAGTGGACCTGATGACAGAGGAGGGAATTACGTTTGTCTGTGGACAGGAAGTGGGTAAAGACCTGTCTGCCTGTAAAATAATGGAGGAGAGTGATGCCATGGTCCTAGCCCTGGGGGCCACCTACCCCCGAGATCTACCTATACCAGGTACAGAAATAGTCTAAATCAGTGTTAGAGTACATCAGGGATTTTATATAGGGCCAGGAGATTTACCTATACCAGGTACAGTCTAAATCAATGTTACAGTACATCAGGGGTTTTATATAGGACCAGGTGATTTACCTTTTCCAGGTACAGTCTAAATCAATGTTACAGTACATCTGTGGTTTTATATAGGGCCAGGAGATTTACCTATACCAGATACAGTCTAAATCAATGTTACAGTACATCTGGGGTTTTATATAGGGCCAGGAGATTTACCTATACCAGGTACAGTCTAAATCAATGTTACAGTACATCAGGGGTTTTATATAGGGCCAGGAGATTTACCTATAACAGGTACAGTCTAAATCAATGTTACAGTACATCTGGGGTTTTATATAGGACCAGGTGATTTACCTTTTCCAGGTACAGTCTAAATCAATGTTACAGTACATCTGTGGTTTTATATAGGGCCAGGAGATTTACCTATACCAGGTACAGTCTAAATCAATGTTACAGTACATCTGGGGTTTTATATAGGGCCAGGAGATTTACCTTTTCCAGGTACAAACACTTGTTTCTAAATCATTGATATCACAACACTTGTCTTTTGTGGTTTACATATCATCAGGATTTCCCATTAAGACAAAAATCACTTGAGTCTATATTGTTGTTTGAACAACAGTGGTTCTGTTTAGGACTAATTTCTTTTGCTTATATTCTACAAATGCAGCAAAGTGTTTTCCCGGACAAAATGTTCTAAAATTTCAAACTGAACACTTTCGGGCAGGAATTTGTATGGTATTATCTAATGATTTCAAAATGAACACTTTTAGGTAGGGATTTGAAAGGTATCCACTTATGTTTTCAAATGAACTCTTTCAGGCAGGAGTTTGAATTAAGATTTTAAACTGAACACTTTCAGCACTTAGGATTTCATGTTGAACACTTTTAGGCAGGAATTTGAATGGTATTCACTTTGCCATGAGTTTCCTTGAGACATGGCAGAAAGTCCAGAGTGGAAATGAGATGGATTACCTCAAACTATACGCCAAGGACAAGGATGTTGTCATCATAGGGGGTGGGGACACGGGCTGTGACTGTATTGCTACCTCTCTCAGACAGGTAAAATGGGCAGGGATCTAAAGGGGTGTATGGTTATATAGCTTCCTCTCTCTCAGACAGGTAAAATGGGCAGGGATCTAAAGGGGTGTGTGATGGTATAGCTACATGTATCTGTCTTTGAGGGTAAAATAGGGGCAGGGATCAAAAGGGTGTATGATAGTATAAGTACTTTTCTGTGACAGGTGAAACTGAGTCAAGGATCTAAAAAGGGGGGGGGGGTGATAGGGAAGTTACCTCTCTATGAGGGTAAAACAGGGGGAGGGATCTAAAGGGTGTGTGATAAGTACTTTTCTGTGACAGGTGAAACTGAGGCAGGGATCTAAACGGGTGTGTGATAGAGGAGCTACATGAACCTCTCTCCAATAGATAAAGCAGGAACAGGGATTTAAAGGGAGTGTGAAAATATATCTACATCTCTCCATCATGTAAAAAAGGGGCAGGGGTGTTGGGAGTGTGTGATAGTATAGCTACCTCTCTTTGAGGGTAAAATAGAGGTAAGGATCCAGAGGGTTGTAGCTTTACTTTTTAACTGCTTTCACAGGTAGAACATCATGATATGCCAGAAAAGGTCCCCCTTTCAGATACTGTAAAATCATTTATTTTTGTGGTTAAAGGGAAAGAAATTGGTTCATAGGGAAGTGATTTTGTGGCTGAAGAAATTTTGATTACCGGTAGTTATGCAAATGGGATTTTATATTTCGAGGGGGACATGAATTCTTGGGTTTTTTCACACCTCGAAAACAACGAAAATTAACCCCCCACGAAATTACTGATTGCACACAAGAAGGATTTAGGATGGAATTTAGGGAGTATGGAACTTTGAACAATAATTTTACTTGTTAACATATAGCATGACTTAAGTCTGAAATGAAAATCAAACCTTCAATAAAGAAAACATGAAGAATTGAGAATTTGACAACATTCTTCATTTATAAAGAATTTTGAAACAAAAATTTTTTTTAACAATTTCAGGGAGCGAAGAGCATAACATCTTTTGAGATTCTCCCTCCTCCCCCTCCCACATGGGCCGCCAACAATCCCTGGCCAACCTGGCCACGCGTCTTCAAGGTCGATTACGGACACGAGGAGGTCAAAATCAAGTTTGGGAAGGACCCCAGAATCTTCAACATCAAAAGCACGGTATGATGTCACCAGAGCTACAAATAATATTGGCAAATCCAGGGGAATTAACTCATGTAAACACTGTAAACCAATCCAAACTTGCAGAAATCACTTAGGGGACTAGAAGTGCACATCAATTTGCTCAGAAAACTGCCGTATTTGTCACTTCTCTTCGGTTTGTGATTAGAAAATAATTATTTTTTCTGTGATTTGTTATTGGACATTTGCCTGTAATCATTTTGTCTGTGATTTGTTTTTGGACAGGAATTTGTGGATGACGGAAAAGGGAATGTGAGTGGAATCAAAACGATTAAAGTGGAATGGAAGAAAGACGAGGCCGGCAGATGGAATATGTCTGATGTACCAGGTAATATTACTGAGACAGAGTCAGTACAGATACACAAACGTCATATTTTTAAGAAACTAAAATAGGTAGATTTAAAGTTTTCTGCACAACAGTTTATTAAATTGAAACAAGTTTACCTCATTTCTGAATTCTGTTCTCAGGTTCTGAGGAGTTCATCAAATGTGACCTGGTTCTCCTGGCGATGGGATTCTTGGGGCCAGAGAAAAAGATTTTGGAGGAGCTGAAGGCAAAGCTAGACCCCCGGGGAAATCTGGAGACCCCTCGTAATAAGTACTCCACAAGTATCCCCAATGTGTATGCTGCTGGGGGTAAGAATTATGTTAAATTTGTGACTAAACCCCCCCTCTCTCCCCCCCCCCCGGCCCCCCAAAAAATAAAGTGCTTTGCAAATGTCCCCAAGGTGTATGCTGCTATAGGTAAAGATTATACTAGTCTGGAAAAATTAGTTCCCCCCTCCTTCTTTTCCCCGAAATAAGTACTCCAAAAAGTATCCCCAATTCTGTCTAAGGTAGTAGTGACACTGTCAAATCTGTAATCCCCCTCCCCCACCGACCACAACCGTCTCCATTGTTTAAATTGCTGAAGGTAAAACTTAATAAACCTCTCCTTGAAATAAGAAGTGCCCTAGTATTTATGCTAGTGGAGGCTTGTATAATACTGTAAAATCTGCCCACAATCAATTATTCATGAATGTCCCTAGCAATTTGGCTGTTTATGGTTGTAACACCTTTAAATCTGTGTCCCTTATATAAATATCTTGATACTGTCAGTAGTCATTGTCCTCAGTGTTCCTGTACATAGTGTAAGAAGTACATACCTGTATATGTGTAAAACTGATCTATAAAGTAAACGCTTTCTTCATTTTGACTATTTCTGTACAGGTTAAGTTAAATTCGTGATTGTCTCCATGGTACTAATATGTACCACATTTGTCAGCTAATGTTTACTGTGTACTGACCTTTGACCCTACATTTAGATTGTAGGCGTGGCCAGTCACTAGTGGTGTGGGCAATCTCTGAAGGTCGACAGGCGGCCCGTCAAGTTGACTTTGATTTGATGGGACCTACCAGTTTGGCGGGGCCCGGGGGAATAGTGTATCAGCCTGAGCAGTGATTGACAGAGTGGGTGGAGTCAGGCTAGGACAACAGGGGAGAGAATCTGTCAAAGGGAGGTCACTGTGTACTAGCAAAGGACATATCTAACATGGGGGGATTATAACCAGTTGTGGGAAGTTTTCTTTGTCAAGAGCAGAACAAACATTGTGTGATATAAATAGAAAAATATTTAAGTTGTAGATGTAAAACTTCGATGTAAAGCAGGGAACTTTGTTCATATACAGATAACAGGTGTGAATCTCATTTTAATTGGATTTTGAATTTTGTCTTTATCAGTGCTTGTAGAAATGTTTGAAAGTGATTGATTCTTGTTAGACCTTATGAAAATGATGTATTATTTGTCAATAATTATAAAATGATGGATGGGTTTACAGAAATTAACTGAAAAATTGTAATGTTGTAAAGAGAAGTAGGTCAAATACAACTTGTTGTCACAGCTCTATTTAGTATTAATATGTGTAGAAACATTTTTAATCCTAAATATCATGGTATCAGTTGTTTCTTGTTTTTGATTAATATAATGTTAATATTTATATATATATATATATAGTGTAGATATTGAAAACGTCTGCTTGTTTATGAATTTAATCTTGTTGAATTTTTAAATAGATCATATTGCACTTTCATGTATGTCTTAGTCACTAAAAATATTCTGGTTGATAAAAGAAAAAAATAGTGCCAGATAAATATGGACAAGTTTGTAATAACTAAGGTTAGCTGATTCTCTTAGTCTTCCTTGTTGTAAATCTGTGCTGATTAAGGAAAAATCATAATTCTGACTCGGTCATTGTATAAAGTAAATTTCTGTACATTTGCTCTTGCTGTGAAGGGTAAAATGCAAAATATCTTGTAAATGATAACAATTAAAATTATTAAGACTGTTAATGAATTTTTTTTTGTTTTGGTTGTTTTTGATGTTCCAGTAATGAGTCATTTTCTGTTATTCTTTTGTTTTGAAGATGATTTTAGTTTTTTGTCTGTAACATATGTCTGCTTTTAAAGAATTTTTTTAATACAAATATAAACACTTGTCACACTTGAACACTTAACAGTGCATTAATAGGGTATAATTTATGTATTATAAAAACTAAGTAGTGGGCATTGCAAAAAGTTGTTTTGCATAATAACTACTTGTATATGTCATTCACATAGAAGAAAGCAAAATGTCTGTTTTGGTAGTGTAAGGATGAAGAAGTGTTACTGGTAGACAGTAAATGACATATAGACAGATTCAGCACCGTTCTCCTATCGCGAGATAATCGCACACCACGAGATAATCTCACACCTGATAGAGAAATAGAGAGGCCTGATAAACAGAGAATCAGCAAGCAGTGTATTCTGGGTAGATTTCTGAGTGAACACAACTTTCAAATAGTATTTTTCCCCAATCTTACACTAAGGAGCTTTAAAGAGTGGAAGATTTTTTTTGTTTAATTTGTTTTTTGTTTTGTTTTTCTTTTTGTTTTGTTTTGATTAAATCTTTTCTATGTTTTGATAATTTGCACTTTTCTGGAGCCTAAGGCACAAAAGATTTCCTTCTGGAATTTTTTTTCTATTCCAATTTTACTCAAGTTTTATCACAAGGTGTGATACTAGTATTTTGCTGAATCGAGTTCAGAAATATTGATGTAGTTTGATTTAGTCTCTGATTTTGATCTATAACTATACAGACAGCTTGACTTAATTTCAGGGATGACTCTGTATAAAGTAGTAAAAAATCTGCCTAAACCTGTACAATTAAGAAATAAACAACAATGTTAAAAAGTTCTCTGGGAAATGAACTTGGTTGGTCACGTGATCAAATCCTGTGAAGCCCGAAGGGCTTCTCAGAAGATTTGATCACGTACCAACCAAGTTCATTTCCCAGTGAACTTTTTAACATTGTTGTTTATTACTTTTATTTACATTTGAGACGGATATTCTGAAAAGAACAGCATTTATTACACGAACGGCCCGCCGTATTGCTATGTTGTGACGCGCAATGACCTAGAAGCTGTTTGGTCTTGAGAGTTCACCTCGCTCCAACATTTGAATAATTACATTGATGTTCAGCAGTCCAGTTCAGGAAATATCTGTTCATAATGAGAAAACAATGATCGCTACTGAGAATAATCTTACTTTTATTGTATGAGTTCTTAATATATGAAGTCAAAAGCGGTGGTATCGTCTTCAGTTTACTTACCTTCAAAGGAATTTCGGGTTAAAAAGGTAAGCGTGATTTTAGGCTAATAAAAACATTCTTCACACCGAAGAAAGAACTAATGATCATTTTTGAACGAAAAAAACACACATATGTTTCAATAATTTTACCTTTTTCATCGCTTTAACGGCTTAGAAGTTCCGAAACCAGTGTCACCGTGACAGAAATATGTAGACAAGATATCGTCTCGCTGTGTGATTCGGTCACACCATGACCTCTGACCCCCTAATTAGTTCATACAGAATTGAACATATTTTCTCTTCAATAGGTTCATCTAAGAAAAATATTTGCAAATGTAAATAAAATGTTATAATATTTAATCTGGCAAGAAAATTGCATCAATGATACTAAATTTCAACTACACAAAAAATATTTAATTTAAAATGCATAATAAAATGTATATTTACAGCAATACAAATGTATATTCAAATAAAATGATTTTAGTGATTAAATGCCAGTGTGTTGTTTTGCATAATAAATAGTTAAACTAATGCATTGATTATTTTAAGTGGATCGGAGAAGGGTCTGATGAGACTGTAGCTCTACCGGTTTGTACTTACAGAGCTGAGAGAAAGAGAAAAATAGCACCTGTAATTGAAATACCTGCTTTAGTTTCACTTTTATAGAAATTATGTATCTGGTGTTTTCTGTTGAAATCAAACTAAAAATGTAGGAAGAGTAGTGTTATTGAAGAATTTCACAGAATTATAGAAATTATGATAACGCATTTAGTGCAAATATTAAGCTGAGACACGAGTTGCATGGCATTGTATAGCCTCCCAAACACTGCTTGATTAATAAGAAAAAGCCTTTGCTCTCACTGATGTAACAAAAAACTTATTACCCAGAGTATATTTATTGATTTTTACAAAATACCTGAAAATTCAGTTGTAGAAGTCCAAGTCATTAATTCACCAAAAATTAAAGAATATATTAGTATACATGAAGAACACATATTCAAGTATCTGTTCAGTTGCTCAAGAAGTTTCTCAAAACTGGACCATCTCTGGAAACTGACCTACATGTACTCATAACCGGGCGATGTTCATTGATCGACCCTTACATGCAGAGTGTCCAAATTAAAGTATGAGGTGTAGAGTACAAAATAGAAAGGCTATATTGAACTTAAAATCATTCACTTCCATGTCTTAATTTCTGATCCTGATTGTATATGTAAGTGAGCCCTCTGTCAGGTTATTCTGCACAGTCAATACTAAAAAAAAACTGATGGTAGGTTTTCGTTTGCATCATAATTCAATTCAAACAATTATTATTACATGTTTGGAAGATGTCATCGAAGCACGTGTTGATTGGACGACACTGATGCATGATGGGCGTGGCTGCATCACACGTGACATAGCGGGACTTCTCAGGAGGATGTCGTATTCCCCGACCAATCATGTTCTGCCCACAAAGCGTCGCTGTAACATAGAAGAAACGCAATCATTGGTCAGGTTTATAAGTGAACTTTGCACAAATCTGCTGACAAATGAATAAGAACAAATCTTAAACATGTTTGAATACACTAGTAGTACTAGAGTAGCAGAATAAGGAGTGGTTCCCTGCGTTGCAAGTTAAAATCCCACTGCTGTAGGTGGGTACTCAATTGTGACGAAAACTAATTTATTGTAGGCTTTGATGACTAATTTATTGTAGTCTGTGATGACTTTCTATTGTAGGCTGTGATTACTATTTTATTGTAGGCTGTGATGACTATTTTATTGTAGGCTGTGATGACTATTTTATTGTAGTCTGTAATGACTATTTTATTGTAGGCTGTGATGACTATTTTATTGTAGGCTGTGATTACTATTTTATTGTAGGCTGTAATGACTATTTTATTGTAGGCTGTGGTTACTATTTTATTGTAGGCTGTGATGACTATTTTATTGTAGGCTGTGATGACTATTTTATTGTAGGCTGTGATGACTATTTTATTGTAGCTGTGATGACTATTGCATTGTAGGCTGTGATGACTATTTTATTGTAGGATGTAATGACTATTTTATTGTAGGCTGTGATGACTATTGCATTGTAGGCTGTGATGACTATTGCATTGTAGGCTGTGATGACTATTGCATTGGTAGGCTGTGATGACTATTTTATTGTAGGCTGTGATGACTATGGTCCCCAAGGCCTGGCAGAATGAAAAGAATATGAGAAGAAGGCATACTACCGCTGGAGTGCCTTTGCTATGGAACCCTGGAATAGACCATGTAAATGTTTGCACACAGGCCTTTTGTTTTGAGAGTTGACTAAAATATATTCAGCATCCTATACATTGAAATATTTTATCAACTTGTTATACATCCTATGTACTCTTTATTATGCATTATTTCTAGCCTTGTTAACTCTTTCTGACAGTCATTACATCGTCTGCATCTTATTCACAATATTTCACTTTGTTTCCAGCCCTGTTAACATTCTGTGACGGTCGTTATGTGGGAGCCATTCTAGACAGGAACGGCCTGCGACCTTCACGATTCTACGTCACCAAGGACAACGTGATGTACATGGCGAGTGAAGTCAGTGTGATTGACATCCCCGCGGCAGATGTCATTCAGAAGGTGAGAGGATAGAGTGACCTAGTTAAGCCACATCATCAGACCTAGACTTTGTATGATTATTGTGATCTATTAATGGGGTTGATTAAAAAAAGATGAGATTTTTTTTGTAACAGGGTCGATTGAAGCCTGGACGTATGTTAATGGTGGACACAGAGGAGCAGACTTTTATGAGGGATGAAGTGATCAAGCACCACCTAGCGGCGCTCAGACCCGTCTCCAAGTGGCTCCAGGAACAGGTACACAAACTTAAGCTTATTTTCTTTTTTTTTTTTTTGAAAGACAGTTAAAAGAACTTTTTTTTAAATTTCCTGAACTACATGTAGAATTAGAAGACACTATATGAAAGAGAACAAGGTTTACAAACTTAAGATTTTTTTATGACCGGACAAAGTACAGAACATAGAAAAACCAAGAATGTTGATTCCTTCTAAATAACATACAAACTATCAGTTGAACTAAGATATCTACACGATTAAGAAGGGCAGCAGAACTTATTTCACAGTCGTTGTCAACCAGTAAGTTATCTTTTGAGATGGACCTTTTTCTGCTGGCGATGAAATAGTGGTGGATATTGTAATTGTAAAACAGATTGATATGAGCTGTGCATAATATGATTTTTAATATTTGTTAAAATAGCTCTAAGCCTTGTTTTGATGTATTCGTTAATGGCCTTTTTTCTGTCCATCACAGACGATGTCTCTGGAAGAGATGAGAAGGTCCTGTGACCCAGCATCATTAGTCCCGCCCACGTACAAGCTTAGAGAGACAACACACGAGAGCTGGCTACAGAAGGACCCGAGGATCTCCCTGTTTGGTTACACCTTGGAGATCATTAATTTGCTGGTGTTACCAATGGTCAAAGAGAGGTAAGGGAACCAGCTAAAGGTCCCAGTTTATTCAGAAATCAATTAACTCAGTCTGCTGTTTTCAATATTGGAAAAAAAAGATATTGGGCTTTATAGAAATACCCGCCACCCATCTACCTCACACTACCACTGAAAGAAAGCCATAAGGAAAATTTGATTTCAAACGTGCATTTTTCTTTTTCTTAGACAACTTAAAATAAAAGAGAATGCATAAATAAATGAAGGGAGATCATGTTATTTTGTGTGTACAGTAAATCAATGTATATTAAAGGAAAAAGAAATGCTTTAATGTGTATTTCTGTAAGTGTCGACTTAATTGTGCCTTTTTATACCCGCTCTGAAGGAGAGGGGGGTATACTGTTTTACTCTTGTGTGTCTGTCTGTCTGTCCGTAACAAATTTTGGTTGCAGTTTTCTCAGCAACTACTCATTGCAGATGCTTGAAATTTTAGCACACTCCTTGTTTAGGCATGCCATATAGTGGTATTCATTTTTGTACAAATCCGACGTCAAATTCCTGTTTATCTGTGCATCTGTCCGTACTATACATAACAAATTTTGGTCGCAGTTTTCTCAGCAACTACTCATCGCAGATGCTTGAAATTTTTGCACACTCTTTGTTTAGGCATGCCATATAGTGGGATTTATTTTTTTACAAATCTGAAGTCAACTTCCTGTTTATCCATGCATGTGTCCATACCATACATAACAAATTTTGGTCGCAGTTTTCTCAGCAACTGCTCATTGCAGATGCTTGAAATTTTAACACACTCTTTGTTTAGGTATGCCATATGTTGGGATTCATTTTTGTACAAATCCAATGTCAATTTCCTGATTATCACTGTGTCTGTCCATAACTGAACTTGTGTATTCACATCAGAGTGGGGGTATTATTAGTGAGCATTGGCTCACAGACTTCTTGTTGCTTTCACATTCATATAAAGTAGATGAAATGGTATGTTGAAATTCTATTTAGAGTAACTTTGTTTGTAGGAAGGAAGCTTTGGGATCTATGGGTAATGACGCCCCCCTGTCCTGTCTGTCAAAGTTTAATCCTCTGATCTTTGACTACTTCAAACAATTATTTGCCCAGGTCACCAATCCACCCATTGACCCCTTCAGAGAGAAGATAGTCATGTCACTGGTAAGTCTGGAAAGCCAGGTTTACTTGCTTAGTTTTCCTTATTCATATAATTTTCAAAAATCTTTCAGGTAAACTTTTTAACTTTCATTCTTAAATTTGATTGGTTAATTCTCCAGGCATGCCCAGTGGGACCCGAGGCTAACATTCTGGAACCAAGTGAGGAGCAGTGTCAGAGACTCTGGCTGGAACAACCCATACTGTCACTGACTGACCTCCAGGTGTTAAAGGCGGTCAATCACAGAGGATGGAGGGTAGGTCAAAGGTCAGGTTTAGAACAATCACTATTATCTGCAATTGACCTCCAGGTGTTAAAGGCTGTCAATCACAGAGGATGGAGGATAGGCCAAAGGGCAAGGTTAGAACAACCCTATTATCACTGACTGACCTTCAGGTGCTGAAGGCTGTCAATCACAAAGGATGGAGGGTAGGTCAAAGGTCAAGGTTAGAACAACCCTGCTATCAGTGACTGACCTCCAGGTGTTAAAGACGGTCAATCACAGAGGATGGAGGGTAGGTCAAAGGTCAAGGATAGGGCAATTAATACTGTCTCTAACTGACCTCCAGGTGTTAAAGACTGTCAATTACAGAGGATGGAGGATTTGTCAAAGTTAGAACAATCAAAAACTGTTTGTAATGGACCTTCAGGTGTAAGCTTTTGCTTAAATGATGATGTTTTCCCAAAGTAAATCATAAATTATAGCTGAAATGCAGACAAATTCAATATGCCATGCATGGCAATATTTGGCAGAAATTGCTGAACTTGTCAATTCTATAATAGAATAAGTTATTTATCCCAGAAAGAGTTATCCCTCTTCTCAGAGGGTCAGTGATCCTTAAATACTTTCCTTTGTGATCAGTGCATTGTGACACGAATGATTTACTTCTATTTGTTGACTTTTTTAGATTAAAGTGATTGACATTGTGTTTCAGAGTAAAGATATTGACATTGTGTTTTAGAGTAAAGTGATTGACATTGTGTTTCAGAGTAAAGTGATTGACATTGTGTTTCAGAGTAAAGTGATTGACATTGTGTTTCAGAGTAAAGTGATTGACATTGTGTTTTAGATTAAAGTGATTGACATTGTGTTTCAGAGTAAAGTGATTGACATTGTGTTTTAGGGTAAAGTGATTGACATTGTGTTTCAGAGTAAAGTGATTGACATTGTGTTTTAGAGTAAAGTGATTGACATTGTGTTTTAGAGTAAAGTGATTGACATTGTGTTTCAGAGTAAAGTGATTGACATTGTGTTTCAGGGTAAAGTGATTGACATCGTGTTTCAGAGTAAAGTGATTGACATTGTGTTTCAGAGTAAAGATATTGACATTGTGTTTTAGATTAAAGTGATTGACATTGTGTTTCAGAGTACTAAAGTGATTGACATTGTGTTTCAGAGTAAAGTGATTGACATTGTGTTTCAGAGTAAAGTGATTGACATTGTGTTTCAGATTAAAGTGATTGACATTGTGTTTCAGAGTAAAGTGATTGACATTGTGTTTCAGAGTAAAGTGATTGACATTGTGTTTCAGAATAAAGTGATTGACATTGTGTTTTAGATTAAAGTGATTGACATTGTGTTTCAGAGTAAAGTGATTGACATTGTGTTTCAGCTGGAAGAGGGAGGTGATGGTCTTGTTCCGGCTCTACAGAACGTTTGTCAGCAGGCAGCGGAGGCCGTAACCCAGGGATACAAACTAATCATACTGTCTGACCGTAAAACAAGCTAGAACACCGTACCCATACCGTAAGTATAAAGACACTGTAACCATATCATAAGTATAAGGGATACAAACACCGTACCCATACTGTAAGTATAAAGACACTGTACCCATACTGTAAGTATAAAGACACCGTACCCATACAGTAAGTATAAAGACACAGCACCCATACCGTAAGTATAAAGACATGAAGAACAAGGAAATAAGTCCAAAGTTAAAAGCATCCTTGCTGAGATACAAATGTATGTTTTAATTCTATATACTGTACATTGTATTAATGTAAAAGAAAAATATAGTTTTATTCATAGAAAAAAGGGTCATATTTAGCTTTTCAATTCATGAGGAGTTTTCTTCTGCCGAATATATTGAAAAGTTTATTAGTTTTTTGGTCCCTTTTTTATTAGCTCACCTAAGCTGAAAGCTCAAGTGAGTTTTTCTGATCACATTTTGTCCGTAGTCCGTCTGTCCAGCTGTCCGTCCGTCTGTCTGTCCGTCCGTCCGTCTGTAAACTTTTCACATTTTCGACTTCTTCTCCAGAACCACTGGGCCAATTTAAACCAAACTTGCCACAAAGCATCCTTGGGTGAAGGGGGTTCAAGTTTGTTCAAATGAAGGGCCACGTCCTCTTCCAAGGAGAGATAATTAAGAATTGGTGAAAATTTGGTGTCTTCTTTTAAAAATCTTCTTCTCAAGAACCGTTGGGCCAGAAAAGTTGAAACTTATGGGAAATCTTCATTACATAGTGTAGATTCAAATTTATTCAAATCATGACCCTCCGGGGTAGGGTGGAGCCACAATGAGGGATCAAAGTTTTACATAGGAATACATAGGAAAATTCTTTAAAAATCTTCTTCTCAAGAACAACAAAGCCACAATTAGTCATATTGATATGAAATCATCCTCAGGTAGTGTAGAATCAAGTTTGTTCAAATCATTACCCCTGGGGGTAGGGTGGGGCCACAATGAGGAGTCAAAGTTTTACATAGGAATATATAGGAAAATTCTTTAAAAAAATCTTCTTCTCAAGAACAACAAAGCTACAATTAGTCATATTGATATGGAATCATCCTCAGGTAATGTAGATTCAATTTTGTTCAAATCATGACCCCCAGGGGTAGGGTGGGGCCACAATGAGGGATCAATATTTTACATAGGAATATATCTTTAAAAATATTTTCAAGAACAGGAAAGCCATGATAAGTCATTTTGATATTGAAGCATCCCCAAGTATTGTAGATTTAAGTTTGTTCAAGGCAATCTCCAGTAGTAGGGTGGGGCCATAATCGGGGATCAAAGTTTAACAAAAGAATGCATTTAAGAAATATCTTTAAAAATCTTCTCAAGAACAACAAATCCATAATTAGTCATATTGATATGGAAGCATCCTTAAGTAGTGTAGATTCAAGTTTGTTCAAATCATGACCCCCCTCCCTACCCCCCAGGGTAGCATGGCAGACATCTTTAAAATTCCGTTTCAAGAACAGCAAAACCATGATTAGTTATATGAATATAGAAGCATCCTCAGAAAGTTTAGATTCAATTTCATTCAAAACATGGCAACTGGGGATAGGTTATGCCTAGAACAGTCGATCAAAGCTTTACATATGAATATATAGAAGAAGAAACCTGCTGACAAAGAACAGCAGGGCCATATTGACTCAGGTGGGCGTTGTGACCAATGGGCCTCTTGTTTATTTTTATTATAGGCAGTGCAGACAGGAACAGTTGTTTTATAAAGGAAGTAAAAAACAAAACTTTCCCTAGGTAAGTTTTTAGGTCACCTGAGTCACTCAGGTGACCTATTGCTATCTGTTTTCGTCCGTCGTCGTGCGTCGTCCATCGTGCATTAACTTTTGAACATTTTTAACTTCTTCTCTAGAACCGCTCAACCAATTTCAACCAAATTTGGTATAGAGCATCTATGGGTGAAAGGGAACAAAAATTATGAATTTCATGGTCCCTGCCCCCCTGGGGCCTGAGGGGTGGGGCTAAAACCACCAAAAATAATGCAACCTTTAAAAATCTTCTTCTTTACTCCTGGACATCAAGAGTCAAACTGTTGGCATCATTGTAATAAGCATGGAGCTCTCTACCAAAGTTGTGGAATTCATGGCCCCAGGGTCAGGGGTTCTGGCCCCAGGGTGGTGCTATATAGATCATATAGTGAAAGTGCATTATTTCTTTGAAAATCTTCTTCTCTGCTCCTGGGTATTAAATAAAGGAACTAAGTACATAGTTATGATGAGCAAGAGTGCCTCTTCCAAAATTGTGAAATTCATGGCCCCAGGGTCAGAGGTTCTGGTGTTAGGGCAGGGCTCTATAGATTATATAGTGAAAATGCATTATTTCTTTGAAAATCTTCTTCTCTGCTCCTGGGTATTAAATAAAGGAACTAAGTACATAGTTATGATGAGCAAGAGTGCCTCTTCCAAAATTGTGAAATTCATGGCCCCAGGGTCAGGGGTTCTGGTGTTAGGGCGGGGCTCTTTAGATTATATAGTGAAAATGCATTAATTCTTTGAAAATCTTCTTCTTTGCTCCTGGGTATTAAATAAAGTAACTACGTACATAGTTATGATGAGCAAAAGTGCCTTTTTAAAAATTATGAATTTCATGTCCCCAGGGTCAGGGGTTCTGGTATTAGGGCGGGGCTCTATAGATTATATAGTGAAAATGCATTAATTCTTTGAAAATCTTCTTCTCTGCTTCTGGATATTAAATAAAGTAACTAAGTACATAGTTATGATGAGCAAGAGTACCTCTTCCAAAATTGTGAATTTCATGGCCCCAGGGTCAGAGGTTCTGGTGTTAGGGCGGGGCTCTATCGACTATATAGTGAAAATGCATTAATTCTTTGAAAATCTTCTCCTCTGCTCCTGGGCATTAAAGTGATAAACTAAGTACATAGTTATGAGGAGGAGGTGGGCCTCTTCCAGAATTGTGAAAGCCATGGCCCCTGGGACAGGGGTTCTGGTGTTAGGGCAGGGCTCTATTGATTATATAGTGAAAATGCTTTAATTCTTTGAAAATCTTCTTCTCTGCTCCTGGGTATTATTTAAACAAACTAAGTACATGGTTATGATGCATAAGGATGCCTTTTCAAAAATTGTGAATTTCTTGGCCCCAGGGTCAGGGGTTCTGGTGTTAAGGGCGGGGCTCTATTGATTATATAGTGAAAATGCACTGATTCTTTGAAAATCTTCTTCTCTGCTACTGGAGATTATTTAAACAAACTAAGTGCATGGTTATGATGCATAAGGATGCCTTTTCAAAAATTGTGAATTTCGTGGCCCCAGGGTCAGGGGTTCTGGTGTTAGGGCGGGGCTCTATAGATTATATAGTGAAAATGCATTGATTCTTTGAAAATCTTCTTCTCTGCTACTGAAGATTATATAAACAAACTAAGTGCATGATTATGATAGACAAGGATGCCTCTTCCAAAATTTTTAAATATATGGCCTCAGTTTTTGGGATTCTTGAGGAGGGGGGGGGGGGCTCTATTGATTATGTAGTGAAAAAGCATTAATTCTATTAATCATTAATTAATCCTGTCTGCTCCTTAGTGTTGAGCTGATAAATAAATTGCTTAGCTATGATGAAAATGGGAGCTTTGAACAGAATTTTTAAATCTTGTGGTCCTAGGGTCAGGGGTTCTGGCATAACGAAGGGGGGGGGGGGGGCTTTTGATAATATAGTGGAAAAGTGTTAATTCTTTGAAGTCCATAGTTATGATGATGAGGGAAACTCTTCCAAATTTGTAAATTTCTTGACCCTTGGTCTTGGGTTCTGGTGTTAGGGTAAGGCTTTGTTGAATCTGTAGTGAAAATGCATTGTACCTGTGAAATTCTTCTCTGCTTCTGGACATATTGGAAGCAAACTGAGTAAAAGTTTAAATGATATGAGTAAGCATATTTCTATCAGATTTTTAAACATCTGGACCATTGGTCTAAGCATTCTGGTCCTGGGCAGGGCTCTATTAATTTGTATTCTACTGAGAGAAGTTATTCCCCTTTTCCATTCACCTTTGATAGTTAATCACTGTAAATAATGTATTTGAAAGGTTAATAGAATAAGATAATTATGCAAGAATGTTTATCGTATAATTAAAAAAGTACTTTCTTAGTTTTAATAAACAGGTAGGCCTGTAAGTAATAGATAAATAAAAATGAGACAAAAATAACTTATCTTATTGAAAGTTCTTCAAAGACCATAAGAGAGGTCAATGCTAGAGGTCTTAATATGGGTTTAAAAATAGTACAGAAGCACTGATAGTTTGTTAATAGTCTGCACAGTGTTAAGTGGGGGACAGATTAGAACTTAATTTATGAGTTGATACTGAATACTAGACTAATTATTTTGTTGATCTTGATCTTCCTACTTCTCTTACTTTAGGGCAACAAAGCTTCAACTATCAGTGTATTTAACTTCTAAATTGTTGTATTATACTCAGGTGACCGTTAAGGCCCTTGGGCCTTTTGTTAATGCATGGATTTACATGCAAATATTCTTAGGATGCAAAGAAATCAAATCTTTGAGCCTCAAAATTAGATCTTTTTGATTATTTAATTTTGTGCTGCAAGAAATATATGTATGGGATCTCCCCATGTTTTGAATTTAGGTATGATTTTATTCACCATGGTTTTTTTTTTCTTTCTATCCTTAAGCCTTTGATGAGGAAACAGAAAGAAAAAAAAATCCATTGGTTGGACAATATCACAACCAGTCTTTAAGTATGGGAGATTGTTTGCATATATATTAAATGCTTCTGTCCCTCTTTAACTTTCCCGTCAGCTGCCTTATGCCACATAAGACCTTAATATTATACAGCATCAAATAGTTAGTCGTGAAATATATGCAAAAATGGCCTTTTTGAAATGGCATCTTTTATTTCATTGATTTTATTATACCCCCCGCAAACGAAGTTTAGGGGGGGTATATTGGAATCAGCATGTCCGTCTGTCTGTCCGTCTGTCCGTCTGTCTGTAGACGAGATTTTGTCCGGACCATTTCTTGGAAACTGTT